AATGAGTGAAGGCTGACGTACGTCTTAGGAGCAAAGGTGTGGGCGGTGGAGCTGGACTTGTGTGGAATTCCACAGTTTACCCTTGGGCCTCCAGTCTCAGGCTGACACTGAAGATGCTTTGGGAAGTGTTCCGACCACCAGACCAATATAACAGCATCATGACAAATGGAGACAAGGCTGAATATGTCAGTGATTTCATTTTACGTGAATCCACAATCAAGGCCCATGGAAGCAGCAGTCAGAAATCAAAAGACCTAATTAGAGAGCTCCAGTGGCCTAGTGGCAAGAAGATGCGCTACAATCCCGTAGGCGCTCAGTTCGAATCCACCAGATACTCCGCTGGAGAAGGAGAAGCAGTCAATCTCCTCCTGTACCAGTCAGATCCAATTTGACACACACACACACACACACACACACACACACACACACACACACATCCCGAATGACCTATTGCACTGGACAAATCTGCTGGTAAGGACTGCTTTAAAGGGCTAAAGATCAAGGAGGTCAGTTTAAAGAGTGAGATGTTCCTTCTCTAAACCATGGTATCTTCAATCTCTTCATGTTACGGGAGGGAGTTCTGATACCTTCTTGTGCTAAGGAGTTGTATTACTAACTCAAGAGCACGTGGTTTGAATCCACCAGCTGCTCTGTGGGAGAGAGAGATGGACAGCCGCCTCTCAAGCAATTTATTGCCTCTGAAAACCCACTGGAGGGCCCAGCTGGGAGTCAGTTCTGAATCTGTGGCTGGTTTTTCAGGAATTGATTGTCTCTGGGTGGACTTGAACTTTTAATCTTTGGGTTGACAGCTTGTTAAACTCTTTTGCACTCCCAGGTACTGGAAGGAGAGGGTCAATGTTGGATGTGTGTGGAGTAAAAGTAAAAGTGGAAGAGGGGTACTGGTAGGCTGTGGCCCAGAGTGGAGGAGAGAGGGACCTCTGAGGAAATGAAAGGAAGATGAAGTGTGGAGACAAAGGAGGGAGGTTTCCAGAAGCAAACAGTCCCCAGAGCCATCTAGACAACTTCTGTCCTGAACCAGAGAGATTCCTGGAGACCAGGCTGAGAGAGTCAGCTTGGAGTGGGCTGGGGAGAGCCTGGAGATGTGGGCGCTGTGTGGACACTCCTTCATCCAGAAGCATGACCTGACTAGCATCATTGCAAGGCTTGCTCAAGGGACACTGAGGCTATGGGGGCAGCCTCCTGTCCTCAGGTGCTGAGATGTGTGCAGGTTGGAGGCTCCTCGCCTCCTGGGTAGCCCATAAGAGCTGGCGTCTTTCTAGGAGGCTCCTCTGATGCTCAGTAGAAGCCATGAACAGTTTTCTCACTTCACCTTTGGCTGTGTTTGGAGATGTGAGTGTCTGTGTGCGCATGTCAGTGCACATGTATGCATTTTGCACACGCTTATGAACTTGCAACATACATGCGTGTGCACACACGTGTATGTATGTACATGTACATGTGTGTGTGACTCAGTGTTTTTAGATTGTTAAGCCTCAAGGCCCATGCCCTGTATTTATTTGTCTTCCTTTTTTTGTGGGCCTGAGGCACTGGACCCTTTTCTTCTCAGCTTTAAAGTCTCACCTTACTGTTGGGGGGGTTCTCCCCTTCCTGGCACTAGGTAAGTCTCCCAGCCCCTTTCCCCTGACTTTTAAAATTTTTTTTTTATTATTTTGTGTACGTGTACCATCAAATCAGCTCTGGCTGGTACAGGAGGAGATTATCCCTCCTTTTCCAGCAGAGCATCTGGTGGATTTGAACTGTGTGCCTCTAGGATTGCAGTGCAGTTTCTTGCCACTGGGCCACCAGAGCTCCCGCCCCCTTACTTTTCACATAAGCTTCCAGACTTCCTAATGCAGGCAGTGTGGTTTAAGGGTACGAGCATGAGACATTTTATTGGACAGGATTGAGTTCAGAGACGTGCCCTGAGACACCTGGCTGAGCAACACGGTGGCGGGGAATGTGGGCTCTGGAGCAAAACGCCAGGTCAGGCTCTCACTCTGCCACTTAAGCACATGGTCAGCTTTTAACCTCTGTGCTCCTCAGTTTCCTCATCTATAAAATGGGAGCCCTGTTAAAGCCTTGTAGGGCAATATTTAAGTATGTGACTGTTCACTAAAAGGTTGGAGGTTCAGACACACTCAGCAGCTTTGCAGGAGAATCTTCTGTAAAGACAACAGTCTAGAAGTCCCCCTGGGACAGTTTAACTCTGACTCACTGGGTCCCTGAGTTGAAATCAACTTGACAACACCTGTTACCAACAACCTCACGCCGTATCCCAGGGCCACCGTGGGATTCGGGGCATTGACATTTGTAAAGTGTGTGTTCACAGTTGTTAGTTTCTTTCTTCAGAGTAGGGTTCCCAGTCAAGCGGCATCAGATACAGTAGATTGAATGCTTGCTGCCTGGCCAGTGAGAACACCCCATTCACTGGTGTTCTCAAGCCCTTGCTATGGTCATTGCGTCCCTGGGTGCCTTCCAACCCAGGGGCTCAACTTCCCACACTGCAACCAACAATGTTCTCTTGTGGTCCATTGACTCATTTGGAGAAGTACATTGCCAGGCCTTTCTTCCTAGTCTCTTAGTCTGAAAGTTCTACTGTCCAGCTGTGTCCCGCATGGGCGAGCCTGTGAGTATGTGAAATACCTATGGTATCATTTTCAGCATCCCAGTAACACACAAGCCACCATTAGGTAACAGACTGGTAGACAGTGGTGGTGCCCCTCCCTGTAGATGCTAAATAAAGGGTTGGAATCTGCCTCCTGGGACTTTTATTTGAAAAGCGAGCCGTGCATTCCTGGAGGACCGGAAGTGGCCCTGCCTCTCTCGAAGCTGTCATAGTGTTTGCTGAAAGTTGCTGCTCAGGGAGGGCTTTTAGAGTAAAGGAATAAAATGTGAACAGCCCTCCAGTGAGGAGTAAGTGACTTTCTCCCCAAAAACCCCAAGCCCAGCTGACACCCGGCTCAGTGGGTCTTCGCTGCTTGATGAGTCTCTTTGACATTTTCCTTTCAGTCTGGAAGGTTTTTACACAGACTTTCCCCTCATCATGTTCAAAACTCAGTGTAATATGGAGAGAGAGAGAGAGAGAGAAGAATGGACCCCATTGCATCACTCGGCAGATCTCTTCGCCTGACAAGGGCGGGCTGTCACCTCTGTGGATGCCAAGGTCACGTGAAGGACGGACTTCAGGCCCTGTTTTCTGGAAGAAGGCTGGGCTGTCCTTGTGGGCTCTACAGCTTTTGAGACTCAATGATCTTAGTTACAGGTGGTCCTGGTGGCCAGAGGGGCTCCGATGTGACTTTGGGCAGAATCCATGTTGAGGAATCAAGTTTTGAACCCACTCTGCTTCAAGTCTCCCCTGAGCTGCTTGTGCGGAGAAGCAGGGGTCTCTGTGTGTGTTTACCCATTCTCCTGACCCGGGTGGTCCCCGTGAGAGGCTCAGAGAGCAAGGAAAGGGGTTGTTGTCCCACAGGACCATCAGCTTGACCACCAACCCGTGCCAGTGGGCACTGGGAAACCATTGTCTTCCAAGTTCGAGGTCATGGGTTAGCCCAGGAAGCTCGCTCTCAGGTGCATCTACCTGAGGCAGGTGTGGTAGCAGGCTCAGGTTGGGGAACCCTGCGCCAACATTCACCTTCTCCTACAAGCTGGGCTTCCAGTGGTCCCCTTTCTCTGGTCACAGAGTAGAGTTGACTCCATGTCAACGGAGACTGTGCTTTCTCAGGGTTTCATGGACTGACTCCTTGGACACAGATCGCTAAGCCCACAGAGCTCTGTCGCCGAGTGGGTAAGGAGTCGCACTTCCAACCCAAAGGTGGGGGACCCACCAGCTGCCCAATGAGAGAAAGGTGTGCAATCTCCTCCCATGCTGTCCGCAGCCTCTGAAAACCCACTGGAGGAGAAGCTTCGTGTTGGCTCTGACTTGAAGACAATGGGTTGAGTATCGCTGGGCAGATGTGACCCTTCCCCCTTTTGATTCACAGCAAGTGTTAAGCGTTTTCACCATTCAAGGATGCCTCACATCTCTGTTGTTATTAGTTTACAGTAAGTTGGTTCTGACTGTATCAACCTGCAGACAATGGAACTTCCCTAGCCTCGAGCCATCCTCATGGTCACTATTGGAGCCCATTGATGCAGTCAGTCCCTGTGTCAGTCTGTTTTGTTGAAGGTCTTCCTCTTCTTTGCAAAGCCTGTTTTTCACCAAGCGTGATGTGTTCCTCCAGAGACTGGACCTTTTAGATATATGTCCACAGTACATAGACCAACTCCTGCCATCCTCCCTGGCAGGGAACATTCTCGCTGTATTTCTTCTGAGACAGACTTCACTGTATATATTCACTATCCTTCACTGACACAGAATCCGAAAGGATCATTCTTCGATCTTCCATAGTCATTGTCCGGCTCCCGTGTGCAAGTGAGGTGACTGAAAATACACGGCTTGAGCCAAGTTTATCTTAGTCTTCAAAGTGACGTATTTAAAGGGCACTTTGACAGAACATTTTCCCAGTGCACTGTACTGTTTGATTTCATGACTGCTGTTTCCATGGGTGTAGGTTTGTAGATCCAAGTAAAGTGAAATTCCTAGCAGCATCAGGTTTTTCTCAGTCTGCCAAGCTGGGGCTCATCCATCCAATGGTGTGGAACTGTGTGTCCTTAAAGGCTGTAGCCTTTGACCCTCACCGGCTGGCGCTTCAAGTCCTCCTCACTTTCAGCCACTGTTTACATCTCATGTCTCTACACGGCAGATCCTGACACTTGCTCTGCCTGCAGCTTTCCTGTCAGCGGATTCTCTTGCACTTTGTTGGAAGGTGTCAGAGAAACCGCTGCTCCCTGCCTCCTTTGAGAAAAGATTCCTTCTCTCCCATCATCTCTGTTCTCCTCCTTTCTGTCTCTCCCTCTTTCCTCCTTTCCTAGAACCCCGGGGATGGCGTGGGAGTCGTGGTCTTTCTCCCTTTGCCTGGTGTGTTCTGCGGGGTCCTGACAGGGATCTCCTCTCCCCTCAGGTTTGTGGATTTCCACGCGGCCGCGTCCACTTGCTCACCCTCCCGCGCCTCCCTGCTCACCGGCCGGCTGGGTCTTCGCAATGGAGTCACCCACAACTTCGCGGTCACCTCGGTTGGGGGCCTTCCACGCAACGAGACAACGTTGGCCGAGGTGCTGCGGCAGGCTGGCTACGCGACTGGCATAATAGGTAAGAGGAACTTGACCTTCGTGTAGCCTTTACGAAGCGTCTCCTTTCCAGCTAATGTCTCCCCAGCTGCCTGCCACCCTCTGTTCATGTCTGTTTTCTCTCTTTGGAGCTCTAAAACATTAAAAGATGTTTCAGTTTGCATATAATAATTGAATACATGTACTTTGTGATTTCATACAATAATATTGTTGTTGTTGTTGTTATGTGCCATTGAGTCGTTTGCGACTCATAGCGACCCTATGTACAAGAGCCCTAAACACGATTCTATCCTGTGCCAACCTCGCCGTCTCAAACGCACTCATTCCCAACACTCCACTCACAGAATCAATCCATCTCATTGAAGGTCTTCCTCTCCTGCGTCATCTCTCTGCTCTGCCAAGCATGATGTCCCTCTCCAAGGACCAGTCCCTTCTTGCAACATGCCCAAAGTATGTCAGACGAAGCTTCAGAATCCTTGACTCCAAGGAGCATTCTGACTTCACCCGCTCCAGGGCAAACCTGTTTGTTCTCCTAGCAGTCCATGATATAGTCAACACTCTTCTTCCGCACCACAGCTCAAAGGCATCAATTCTCTTTCTGTCATCCCTAGTCACTGTCCAACTCTTGGATGCATAGCACGTAATTGCAAAGACTATAGCCTGGATCAGGTGCACCTTAATCTCCAGCCTGATGTCATTGCTCTTCAGTACTCTTGCAAGTTCCCTCACAGCCGACTTTCCCAATGCAATTCATCTCCTGATTTCCTACCTGCTGTTATCAAGAGCGTTGACTATGGAACCAAGCAAACTAAAACTGTTAACTATCTCAATCTCTTCACCGTCCATACTGATGCTGCCAGTTGGCCCAGTATATATAAATTACATTTTATATAATTAATGACCATTGCTTCATGCCCAGTGTCACCCTGTCTTTTCAAATTCCCAGTGAATCTTTCCCAATAATTTACCCCCAACTCCACCTCCTAACCTCTGCTACCCCATGGATTTTTCCCTTCCCCCTTTCAGTCCCCTTTTTCTTCTTCCCCTTTTGAAAATGTATAGATATCTTGCCCATTACCCTCCTGTTTTCAGAATAGTGGCCTAATCCCCTGCCCCCCAGTGCCCTCAGAATTATGTCTGAGGGCTGGAGCTGGGTCCCTTGGCCACCCTCAGGGCACAGAACCTGGGGAGCCCCCAGGACAGGATTAGAATGACTGGCTTGGGCGTGGACTTAAGATCCCTCACGTCCTTGCACAGAGCGAGGCTCCAGCGGCAGCATAAATGACGTCCAGGTACCGGCTCCTGTTCTTTGTAATTGTTTTTTTAAATATACCTTTCACCCAATATTGATTTAAGTGTTTAATTGCACTGAGATGTCATCTAAGGTAACTGGTATTACGTCTTCCATCTTGTAGTTGAGAAAACAGTTTCAAGCAGGTGAGAAAACCTGGGAAAGGCCAGGTCTGCACCAGCTCGTCTGGTCCTTCCCGGCAGAGCCTCTGCCGTCTCTCCCTGGAGACTAATGAAGTGCTGTGGGGCCCCATCAGCGTCCCTGGCTGCCTGTGCTTGTTATTCTTTGTGCCCAAGACCTGCGTCCCCTGAGAGTCCGGTTCTCTCCCCAACACGTGACAGGGCAGTGGGGGTGGGGCATGCAGACAGGGTGACATCTCCGTGGGTATATTGTTGGCGTCCAAAGCTTCCCCACTTCTCCTGTAGGAGGCTGCGTTACCCAGAACGGGGGCTGCTTTATCCAGAACGGGGGCTGCTTTACCCAGAACCTGGGCTGCTTTACACAGAACCTGGGCTGCTTTACACAGAACCTGGGCTGCTTTGCACAGAACCGGGGCTGCTTTACCCAGAACCAGGGCTTCTTTATACAGAACCGGGGCTGCTTTACTCAGAACAAGAGCTGGGCCTCCTGGCATTGGCCCCTTCTCTTCTGGACCAAGCAGCCTTGTGTAATTTTGTTGATGTTACTATTGTGGTTGTTAGGTGCTGTCAGGTTGCGTATGACTCACTGTGACCCTATGAACAGCAGACCTGACCCCTGTCCTGTCCCGTGCCGTCCTCAGTGTCTCGGGCACACTCAAGCCCATTGCTGCAGTCACTGTGTCAGTCCATCTTATTGGGGGTCTGCCTCTCTTTTGCTGTCCCTCCACCTTTCCAAGCATGATGCTCCTTTTTAAGGAATAGCTTCTCCTAGCAACATGCACAAAGTGTGTGAGATGAAGCTTTGTTATCTTTGTTTCTTTTTTTTCTTTCTTTTTATTATTAAATTTTATTAGTTTTAATGAACATTTACAGGGATTTTGGGTTTTCATTCCTTCATTGCTGCACCATTCTCTCTACCCTCCTCCCCAGTTTGTTCTTCTTCCCCGCCATCCGAATGTCTGTTTTAATAGTCCAGTTGCCACAGTGCTTGTCAAAGTCAGTTCTGATTAATCTCCTTTGTCGGTGTGTCCTTTGCCATTCCCTATCACTCCTCCCTGAGAGAGACTTCACCCTGATTCATAAGGAAAAGGGGATGGCGTATTCTCTTAGCTACTTCCTGCTGAAAAGGGACGCTGTGGGTTTCAGGGTGAAGATCTTCTCTCACTACTCTAAAGGGCTCCTTTGGCAGTAGGAAACACATAGACTATTATGGAGATTGATTTTGGAATTTAGATGCACTCTTATTGATTGTGCTTGGCCATACATGTTCATATCCTTGAAGATGTATCATGGGGGTGTTGCAACCTAGAAGACACAAATTTGACTAACAAGTTATAAGTACATGAGTCAAAAATTATGGAAAAGTAAAAGAAAAGATTCTTTCATTGTTTTACAAACCCTCCCCCAGGTCCCCTCCACCATGTAGCCCTCGCTCTAGACTCCTGTGATGACAGAAATACCTAGTCATATATCTCTTTTAAACAGTTTTCTCCCTCCTCTGTTTCAGTGCGGTATACATTATTGAACCCATTGTTTCTAAGGCTGCACTTTCTCCAAGACACCTGTTTATTTTTTGAGCAGTCCATGGGATATTTAGGACTCCTCTCCAATACCACAACTCAAAGGCATCAGTTCTTCTCCTTTCATCCTTATTCATTGTCTCACGCTCAGATGCATATACGTTATTGAAAAGACCATGGCCTGAATCAGGCACACCTTAGTCTTTAAACTGACATCTTTTCTCCTCAGTTATTTAGAGAAGTTCATGACACTGGACTTGCCCAGTGTAATATGTCTCCTGATTTCTTGACCGCTGTTAACAAAGGTTTTGAAAAATACTACCTGTTCCTGCTCAGCCTCCCTGATCCATGGGGTTAAGACCATTGTCATCCATAAATTTTTTAAATAAATTTTAGTTAAAGTTTACAGAGACTTAGGGTTTCCAGTCATTCATTGTTGCACTTTTCTCCCTAACCACCCCCTTAACCCTCTTCTCCTTGAAAAGAAAAAAACCCTTTCATTGTTATGCAATCCCTCCCCACAAATCCACTCCACTATTCAGCCTTCACTCTGGACTTCTGTAATGACAAGAATACCCATTCATATGTCCCTTTTAAACAGATCTCTCCCTCATCTGTTTCAATGCAATATACATCATTCCTCTCCTCCTTTTCTGTCTTCCCTCAACCCTGATGTCAGTCCTGTTTTACAACAGTGGCCCTATGCAATATTTATCCTTTTGTGACTGAGATATTTCACTTAGCATAATGTCCTCCAGAGTCATCCATTGTGAATAATATTTCATGAGCTCCTTGTTTTTCAATGCAGTGTAGTATTCCGTTGTGTGAATATACCAGAGTTTCTTGATCCATTCATTTTTTGATGGGCACTTGGGTTGTTTCCAGCTCTTTGCTATTGCGAACAAAGCCACAATAAATATGGCTGTTCATATATATGCTTGGGATTTTTAGTAATTGATTTTAGAAAGTAGATAGCCAAGCCTTTCTTAATTGTCTGTCATAGTTTAGAAGCTCTGCTGAAATCTGTCCAGAAATCATAGAAACACACAGACTGGTGGTGGCTTCTTATGAAATGCATTGACTCGGACTTGAACATGAGTCTTCCTCATTGAAGGCAAGAATTCCACCACTGAGCCACCACGGCCTTCCACAACATACAAGTAGAGAAAGCCAGACCGGTGTGTGGCGGTCATTGTCCCAGGGGCAAGCCCTCGTTGGTAGGTTGTTGTTGCTGTGTGTTTTCAAGTCAGAACTGACCCATAAGCTGACCCTCCAGCAGGTTTTCAAAGGCAGTAAACCACACAGGAGGAGATTGTCCATCCTTCTCCCATAGAACAGCTGGTGGATTTGAACCATGTGCCTTTGGGATTGCAGTGCGGCTTCTTACCACTAGGACACCACAGCTTTTTAATTGGTGGGAGAAGGGATGAATCAAGGTTTAATTCTTCATCTCACATACGCTGAGCATTTTGTCAAGAGGGGTCAGTCCCTGGAAAAGGCCACCATGGATGGTAAAGTAGAGATTCAGTCAAAGAGTGGAAGCCTCTTAGAGAGCTGGGTGGACTCAGTGTCTGTGTTCATGCTCCTGTGATGGGTTCTTGCACAGCGGGGATCGTGAAGACGACAGTGTAGAACGGGCAGTACTGTCCTCTTGCAGCGAGGGTTGCTGTGGGTCAGAACCGGCTCAGCAGTACCTAAGACAAACAGTGACATCAACAGCAAGGGGTCCTTGTGTCACGGTGTGGTAAGTGTTGGGCTGCTAACTGAAAGGTCATGGATTTGAATCCACTAGCCATTCTAGGGGAGAAAGAGGAGATTGCCCGCTGACATAGAGATGAATAGAAGGGGCGCTTCTACTCTGATGTTGACAGTAACTATCCACTTGGGATCAAATCCATAGTTGTGGGCTTAGGTGGATTTTTTTAAACCATTTCTTTGCCGATCTGGATTCCTTTTATTTCCTTCTCTTGTCGTATTGCCCTAGCAAGCACTTCCAATACAATATTGGGAAGAAGTGGTGACAGTGGGCATCCTTCTCTCATCTGTGTTTCCAAGGAAAATGTTTCTAGTCTTTCTCCATTGAGAATGATGTCGGCTCTTGGTTTTGCATATATACTTTTCACTGTGTGGAGGAAATTCCCTTCTATTCCAATTTTGCTGAGTGTTGGATCTTGTCAAATGCCTTTTTTGCACCAATTGCTAAGATCATATGGTTCTTGTTATTTACTTTGTTAATATAGTGAATGATGCTGATTATTTTTCTTATGTTGAACCGTCCCTGCATACCTGTTATGAGGTGGATTTTTTTTTAAACAACAAAGAATTGCTCATAGGTCAAGGATCTAAGCCCTGCTCCCTCTCTCATGCTCACGACACCTTTTCAATGTCCAGGACACGATGTTTAAACACATCCACTTGTTGGAATTATGAACTGAAAGGATGTATATAAAGAAAGGGGAAAAAAGCCTACACTCACCCACACTTTGCTTCTAATTTTGGTCTATGTTTATGTGTTTTTTAGTCACGAACCTACCTCTTCCCCTCTCATGATTTTGTATTTCCAAGTGATGCTTAATCCATGCACTTGTCTTTTTTTTCCCCTCTTCAGTTTTTTTTTTTTTTTTAATTCAGGGGTTTTTCCTCCTCCAAACCTACAGAATGATTAGAAATAGGATGGGCTCCTTCAAACCCTTCAGGATCGCTGATGGTGCTGTGCTTACAGGGTTTAATGCTGAGCGAAGGTTTGGCACTCACCAGCTGCCCTGTGGGGGGAGATGTGACTGGCAGTTGCTGGGGAGATTTGTGGCTCTTGAGACCCCGTGGGGCAGTTCTGCTCTGTCCTGCGCTCACTTATCATTCATTCACTCACTGGTGTCAAGCAGGAACCGACTCACAGCTGCCCCTCCAGCAGGTTTTCACATAGGAGATTGCCCACCTTTCACCATCAGAGCTGTTGGTGGATTCGAACCACTGGAGAAGCAGCGCCTTTGCATTGATGGTTCAGCTCTCTCCAGCCCAGGACTTACAGACACTATGAGTTGGAGTTGACGGTAGTGGGTTTGGGTGGGTTTTGATAACCTTCCCCTACATTCCTGGACTGATGATTTTTGCGATTCACATCTGTCTTTAGAAAATGGTTTTATAGTGTTTTCTTTGAGGCCACATGAAATTATCCTCCTTCCGTCCCCCTCGAGTTGCTTGTTTAAACCCCCTCTTTGCTGCCATATGCCCACTTCTCCTTGCTGACTGAACTGGACTGTCAGCAGAGCCGTGAGTGGTGCTGGTCATGCTCTTTCGCTGGCTGGTCACTGTCACGGCTCCTGAACTCCAGTGGGAAGGCGCGCGCTGTCTTGGGGACCTCGTATGCTGGCCAGGGAGGCAGCGGGTGACACCCAGTTGGAACCAGGAGTTATCCACAGCACCCTGGACCACCTGGGACTTTTGAAGGAGGCTGTAGCAGGCACGGTGACCAGCTACTGAAAAGTCCACCCCTGAAAATCCCGTGAGGCACCGTTCCACAGTGACACACATGGGGTCACCAGGTGTTGGAAAGACAGAGCTTATGTCTATGTGAACAGTTTTTGGTGTCGCTGGGCTGGTAATTGAGGGCTGCAGGTTTGTGTCCACTCAGTAGTACTTCACAAGAAGGGCGTGGCAGTCCATTGCCTGAAAGTGGCTCTCAGAAGCCCTGCAGAGCACTCGTGCTGTCCGGTCCACACGTGGTGGCTCTGAGGTGGAATGACTCGGTGGCACCTGTTTTGTTGGTGGTTAAAATGGCCCTCCCTCTTTGTGTTGGCTATCCTGCCTTCTCCTGAGTCATCCCTGCTTGCAGGTCCCCCCCGGGTATCCTCTCCATCTGGGGACCATGCTGAGCTGGGATCACCTCGAGTTCAAGGCAGGGCTGATGGAGAACCCAGCCTTTAATCAGCTCCCCAGAGCGTTTAGGCGCCCCACACCCCTCTGGGATCTCTCTGAAATGTTCTCTTTTGTGTTTTTCAGGCAAATGGCATCTTGGGCACCATGGATATTTTCACCCCAACTTTCGTGGTAAGAATTCTTTTGGGGATTTGTTGCCTAGGAGACAAGAAATGAAAATCTTTATGTGGTGGAACTTTCCGAACATTTGAGGCGTTCAGGCCCTTGAGGGGACTGGATGGTGCAAACAGTTTATGCTTGGCTGCTGAGAGGTCAAGGTGGTCATCTATACGGGAGCACCTCAGAAGAACGGCCTGGCAATTGGTTCTGAAAAGTCAGTGCTTGAAAATCGACTGAGTGCATTGCTACCCGGACACATAGGAATTGAAGTGGGCTCTGGGGCGGCTGGTGTGTCCCTGGGGCCTTCTCTCCTAGGTTAGGGTTTCTTGTTTGTCAGGACCACTTGGGCCATTTCAGATGCCCGTAACCTTGTGCCCTTCCCATCTCTGTCTCTTCTTTTTTTGGTGCCCATTTGCCCCATCATTTCCCCTTCATGGATTGGCCAGTGTTCTTGATGCTCTCTCATACCTCAGGGAACACTAATGAGATCTGATGTTGGTGTGTGCCGTCACATCACCTGCGACTCGTCGTGATTCTACGTACAATAGCTCTGAACTCTGCCCTGTCCTGAGCCAGTCTCACTGTCTCCGTCACATCTACCCTCCTTACCATAGTCACTGTATCAACCCATCTCACCCAGGGTCTTCCTCTCCTGCGCTGACCCTCCACCCTTCCAAGCATGATGTCCTTCTCCAGGGACTGGTCCCTCCTGGCCACATGCCCAAAGTTTGTGAGATAGAGCTTCAAAGTCCTTGCCTCCAAGGAGCAGCTTGGTTTCACCCTCTCCAGGACAGACTTGTTTGTTCTCTCGGTGTTGTGTTCAAGACTCTTCTCCAGCATTCCAGCTGATGAGACATAGATGTGTTGAGTCTGGAAGATCCATGCCTATTGGTCAGTTCCAGCTCATGGTAACTGTGAAGACAGGGCAATGCTGGCTGCCCCCAAGGTTTCCCAGGCTGTAAGTTTTTATAAGATTTACAGAGACCCCTCACTTTGCTCCCGAGATGCGGCCGGTGGGTTCAGACTGATGATATTCTGGTTTGACAGCCCAGTGTTTAACACCCCCGCAGTAGGAGGGAGCTCCTTGGGGTCAGCTAGGAAGTAAGCGTTATCAACCTGGGCTCTCCAAAGCTGGGCACTGCCCACTGCCCCCAACAGGAAGTAGTCCTCCATGGCTTCTTCCTGCATCCATTTCTTTTCATACCTCTTATTCTCTGGCCTCAGGGAAGCGGGCCAAGATCAACACGAGAAGCCAATTCTCCACAAACCAACTTGCTGAATGGCGGTTTCTTTGAACGTCCACTTCAGCAAACAGTTGGTGGTCTTTTTAGAGCTTGACATTCCCCTCTGCTCTTTCCCTGACCGGTCCTTTCCATAGACTGTGAGAACAGCATACTGTCTCATATGTAACACAGGTCCCTGCGTCCCTGCTGTCCCCAGCTGTGTGGTTTGTCCCTGCCCTTGGGACGCTTCCTCTTCTTCTGTTCTTGCCCTTGTCCCAGCAGAAGTGACCTTTCCCTAAACCTGGGTTTCTCTTTGTGGATTTCTCTGTCTCCCTCCCTGTTTCTGTTAACTCTCTCTGTGCCCCAAGCACAAATGACTTGACAGCACATAACAAAACAAAATTTTTTTTAAAGTAATATTTTATTGTGTTTTAGGTGAAAGCGTAGACAGCAAACGCTAGCAGGGAGTGTTGGTTGGAGCCCACGGCTCGTCCCTGGGGAGAAGATGATCTCACAGCCTGGGGAGCCCTCCAGGGCGCTCTGCTGTGAGTCAGAATCGACTCAGCCATGGGGGTTCGGTTTCATTTGAGTCTTTACCAATTTTTATACAAATCCTTCGGTGGCACACGCTGTGTGTCCACGCTGTTCAGGGCTCTCCTTCTCCCTTTCTGTTTGTTCTGTGTCCCATGATCTGCCTCTCCTCGCCCTCCTTGCCGTCTCATCCTGGCTTGTGGATAAATGTTGACCATTTGGCCTCCCGTAATTAATTGTCTCAGGGAGTACATTACTCGTGGGCGAGATGATTTCTTTTATAAGCCATCCTGTTACTTAACTGAAATCTGACTTGCATAAATGTCCATTTCTTTCAGTGGTTGATCCATCAGCCTTATTGATCTTCGGCTATTGATCATATTCCCCTTTAGATGGAAAGTCTCTGGAGGGCAGGGGGTGTTTATTTTTGTCCCTCAAAGTGTCACATTCAAGACAGGTGTGCCGTACTTCCTACCTGGATCCACACTGTGAAGTCAAATGTCCAGGCCTGCCTTCCACTTGCGCCCCACCCGGGGTTAACTCACAAGCTATTTTTCACATCTAATCTCCCAGCCAGAGGACCCAGCAAAATGTTTTCCTCCACATACTACAAAGGAATATGAATCAAATCCCCTTTTAATTACATGCTCACTCGCACTGCAGTGTTAAGTCACGGGGAGTTAAATCTGTGTCCCTGGCGTCAGGACGCCAGCAGGTAGTCTGACGGGGTTGCTTGCTGGCTGTTTCTCTTGCAGGTTTTGATTACTACTTTGGAATCCCATATAGCAATGACATGGGCTGCACCGATACCCCCGCCTACAACCACCCTCCTTGTCCAGCATGTCCACGGCGGAGCGGGCCATCACGGTAATAAATACAATTGTGGTGGAAAGAGTGAGCTGCGAACTTATAGTTGGGTGGTTTGAGTCTGCCCCAGAGTGCCTTGGAGGAAAGGCCTGGTGGTCTCCTTCTGAATCATCTAGCTTTGAAAATACCGAGGAGCACAGTGTGGCTCTGGCATACGTCAGGTCAACAGGGATGGGCATCAGCTCGACTCAAACTGGTTTGCATTTTTCTTTTTTAGTTTGTTCAAGGCATTTGCTACAGGCTCCACGAGGTCCTGAGAGGGGGGAGGGTGGTCCCCTAGGAGAAAGTGAGAGAGCCAGACAGGTGACAGTTAAGCAGCAGGTGAAATAGGGGTTATTTGTATTTGGTGCAAATATAAGTGCATCGTTTGCACCCAGTACAAGAGAGCTTTTGGCAGAGATGAGGCCAGCAGAATTCTTGTGTTGGAATTTTCCAGGTCCTGGGCCAGCTGAGGCCAGCTGGGGCAGAGGGTGGCGCTGTCAAGGCCTCACAGCAGTGGGCCGAGCTCCTCTGCTGGCCTTGTGCCTGGCCCACTCACCTGGCTCAGGCGCTGGACATAAGGAGAGAGTGAGCAAGTGCCCAGGGCTGTGTGCCAGTCTCCGCTCCAAAGAGGCCAGCATGCCGACACTGGAATCCCGTGCAGGCATGAAAGAAGATGTTTGCAAAACAGCATCAATGAAATGAGCAAATGCTCACGTTAACGTGCCCCAAACCTTACTGCTCATGAGTGGGTTTCAGCTCCTGACGACCCTTCGTGGTATCCCCAAGGCTGCTGGATTCAAACTGCTGACCTTTCGATTACCAGTCTAACGTGTAACACATTTACCTACTGGAGTGTCAAAATGCCGTTGGAGTAATTGTTAGATGCCACTGAGTTGACTGCATCGCGTAGACACCCTGTGATCTGAACCTAGTCCTAACCTGCATCAATTTCACGATCTCGTTACAGTCACCGTGTCATTCCGTCTTGCTGAGAGTCTTCCTCTCTTCCTCTGATCCTCTGCCTCTCCCTCCATGATGTCATTTCCCAAGGACTAGCCCCTTCTGACAACTTGCCCAAAGTCTGTGCAATAAAGTTTCTCCATCCTTGTCTCTAGGAAGCTCCTTGGTTGCACTTCCAACCACAGGGTGGTGGGCACTATAATTAACTAGCTGCTTGAGTCCGTTCTGACTCATATCAAACTTCCATTAAGTTTCCAAGGCAGAAAAATCTCGATGGGAGGCGATTGGCCACACTTCTCCATTAGAGCCATTGGTGGCTTCACACTGCCAGAGACACAAGGCCTTGGAGTGAGTAGTGCATCATGCTACAGGCTCGACCACATACACCACCAGAGGACTGCTTCCCACCAGAGCCGTGCACTCTCCTAGTGACAAAAGCAGGAAGCAGATCATCAAGGGTATAATCTTAACTACATCTCTGCCCATATCTTTATAGCCGTGTCAAGGGAGAAGAAAAGGAAGTATAGATCAGAACGTGAACAATGCATCTGTCTAGTTAGGCGACAAAGGAGCTTTCACTTGCTGATTTTACCCCATCTTGTCCAAGTGTTTTACAGCAAGCCTGCTACATCTGTTATCAGAGAAAGAAGACTGACTGGTCTTACTTAACTAGCAAAATGCACAGAGCTGAGCTCCCCTTGTATGAAGGAAAGCACATTGGTGTTAAGGCCGCAGGTGTCAGAAGAACTCAGGGACAGTGAGTCTCAGCTGACTCAATAAAAACAATAGTTTTACACAGCCCAAAGGGCCTCCCAGGGACTACTCTGTGAGTCCTTTGCTACAACTGCAGTGTCGATCCACTTTGTTGAAGGCCTTCCTCTTTTTTACTGACCCTCCAATTTACTGAGCATAATTTCCTTCACCAGGAACTGACCCCTGCTGATAGCCTGTCCAGAGTATGTGGGGCACGAGTCCCATCGTCCTTGTGTCTGAGGAACACTGCTTCTAACCCTGAATTCTACACTCCCCCCAACCCCAGACAGATTTGCTGGTTCTTCCAGCAGTCCTTGGAACATTCAGTGCTCTTCACCAGCCCCACACTTCAGAGGCGTCAGTTCTTCAGTCTTTCTTAATCAACTTTCACATTCGTAACAACCGTTGTTGTTATGTGGCGTTGTACAACAATGAAGTAATTTTTTTTTCTTTTCCAAGAAAAAAAACGAATTGGGGTGGGGGGAGAGGTGGGCAGGGAGAAGGTGCAACAGTGAATGAATGGGGAAAAAATTAAATGGAAAGAATATGAAGTAAAATAAAAATATGTTGCATTAAAAAATCATTAGTATAAAAAATAATAGTTAAAAAAGAAGTGTACCACCACTGAGTGAATGTCTCCTCATTATGACCCTGTAGCACAGATGCAAATGGCCCTATAAAGTCTCCAGGGCTGTGTGTCTTTATGGGAGGGGCCTGCTTCGTCCTTCTCCCACAGAGCAGCTGGTGAGTTACACCAGAAATACAAAAACCACATCAAACCCTCTGTCGTTGAGTAGGCTCCAACCGTATCGCCCTCCCCATTGGCTTTCTGAAGACGTGAAAGGAGGAGATGGCCTTTTATCTGTGGAGAAATGGGTGGATTTGAACCACCCACAATGTGATTAGCAGCCCGGGACACAGCACACTGCCTGCCTGGCCGGGTGCAGTACCACAGCAAGGTCCTCATTTGGGCAGGAAGGTGGCAAGCTCAAGGGATAGGTTTCCTGGGTGGCTCGAAGATTGCTCCACTTATTTAACTGGCTAGGCCTCTGTCTCTTGCTTCAATAGTGAAACCTGCTTAGTTAGGCCTCCATTCTTCTAGGTGGTATAGCACCAGCCTGCCCATTTGCTGTACAGAGGTAACTCGTGGTTGCTGTGATGCTGAACACTGTGACACCGATGTGTCAAATATGACAATGGTTACCCATGGTGGACAGTGGTTGGTGGAGCTCCCCGATTAAAACAAGCTTGGAAGCAGGAGCAGCATCCACTTCCGAAATAGCTTGCCTCTGGAAACCCTGTGAACATGGAGAGAAACGATGAAAGTATACAAGTGTTCAGGTCTTTTGTTCATAGGATCGCTATGAATCGTCTATGACTTGATGGCACTTAACAACAACAGCAGTTAGTCCTCAGTGTCTCTCCCTATAAAATGGGAGTAGTTGTGTCCCCAGCTCACAAGAGTCTTCCTGAGAAGTGGTTAATGGCAGCTTTGGGGAGAGGGCAGCTTGTCCAAGAAGCATGGACTTAAAGAGAACAGAAGGAACTGCTGTATTGGTTGTACCCTTGGAGGAAGTGGTGGTTTGGCAGAAACACCTTGGGCCAGGCAGTTAAGCGCTCTGTTTCTGTGCATATGTGCATGGCTGCATTAAGCCACTATGTGACTGCTCTGGGCGTGGCAATTCATTGACTACTGTGTGTGATTTGCACCCAGGACTCCCGACAGGGACTGCTACACGGACGTGGCCCTTCCGCTCTACGAGAACCTTGCCATCGTGGAGCAGCCGGTGAACTTGAGCAGCCTGGCACGGAGGTATGCCGAGAAAGCCACCCAGTTCATCCAGGACGCCAGGTAAGGACCCAGGAGCCGCCTCACTCTCTGTACCTCCCATGTCTCAGACCTCAGCACTCCCAGGACACAATCGCATTTCCACTGCTCAACACAGGCGGGTGTTCACGCGTCTCCCCTGGGAGCTGTTCCCCTGGGAGCTCCCAACCTGAGCTAGAAGCTCCTCGGTGAGTCCTACTCGGTGTTGCTGGAGGCTGAAGCCCCCTCTGCTCTGACTGAGCCGCCAGAGCGTCAGGACAGTCTTGCTTCTTCCAGCTTTTGAGTGCGTGGCTGTCTGTTCATGCAGCAGTGATCCTGGACTCAGGAACAACTGTGAGCTTATCAGCCTTTAAATGTGCAATGACACCCCTCCCCATTCTACTCACCCCTTCTCCACACATCACAGTGGCATTTTCCAGAAGGGAGGTCAGGAGCGAGGGGAGCACCAGCAAGGGTTGGCAGCTCCGGCTATTTACCTCTTGACGCTAACTCGTCCTGAAAGGCTTCATCCTGGGAGCAGCTCCTCAGGGCTTCAGAGGCCAAATCTGAACAGCTTGGTGGGATTTTCGGAGGGACAGGCTTTGCTGTGTTGCTGGTGTGAAGAGCCCCGGCCTCACATCTGGAAGGCTGGTTATTTCCTAGGTCCCTGGAGCTTCCAGGTGGGTCAGAGCCCTGTGCCCTGTGCCTGCTTGGAAGTTCTTCCAGACTGCGGTGACCATCCACTCCTGCCCGGAGGGTGTCCAGACACATGGCCGCTGGGACGTAGGGACAATGAATGGCCATCTCGGGTGGATTCCTGCCTGATAGTCATCTTTTAAAAGGCCGACAAATCTGTGAGCACCCTCTCACCTGTGAAAAAGGTGAAGAGTTTGCTGATCTATGAATTAGTTATTATCATGTTGGAAGCTGCATGCGTCCTGCTTGGTTTTGACTATACAGAAGGCTGTCGTTAGAACCGCTGAATTCTTGAGGCTTGGACGGAAACTTTCATCTGTGGTTCTCGGGGTGACAGCAGAGATGGCCCCCACATGTGTGAACCTTTCTCCTCTGTAGGTCCTGTCCCCAGTTTGAGCACCTCCTTCCACCTGCATCTGTTTGTCCCAAACATCAACTCTGTCCCCATCTCAAATCCTATCCCCACCTTGAGCACCTTCCCCACTCCAGGATCTATTTGTTACAAGTTCTAGATATCCCTAAAATTGGCTTCTTGCTTCTAAACCTATACTTGTTGGTAAACGTGTCTTTATTGTTACATAATTAGGAAAAAGGATGCTTTGGTGGCCTAGTTCCTAGGGAGTTGTGTTGCTAACTCACACGCCAGGCTCTCTGGGTGGTTTGAATCTACCCATGGCCCCTTGAGGGAAAGCTAGGCCATCTCTTCCCGTGAGATTTATGGTCCTGGAAAAGCAGTGGGGAGTCAGCTAGGAGTTGCTGTGACTCAGTGGTGGTGAGCTTTATACTTCCCAGTGTAAAAATCAAAGTATGTGTAAACCAGTAACCAGTTGCCTTCAAGTCAGTTCCTGCCTTGGACTGGGTGAGAATTCACACCCACCGCAACCACTAATGAAACCAGCGGCTGTCCCGTCACTTCTGCCTCAAGGTGACTGCGTGTGTCAGTGTTGTTGTGTACCGTAGGGTTGGAACTGACCCACAGCTGACATCTTCGCTTTTTAACACTTTAAAGAGGCCAGGGCTCTGCAACCCTTTTGCGTAAGGCAGTATGTTCGATTTGTCTGCTGTTTCCAGGGGTGTTGATTGTGGACTCAGGTAAAATGAAATCTTTGACAACTTCAGTCTTTTGTCTATTTGTCATAAGGTTACTTCTCAGTCCCCTTATGAGGATTTTTGGTTTCTTGATGTTGAAGTGAAATCCCTGCTGCAGACTCTAGTCTGAGATCTTTGTCAGTAAATACGTCAGGTCTCCTTTGCTTTCGCCTTGCAAGGTTGTGTCATCTGAATGTGGCAGATCGTTAGTCCTTCTTCAGTCCCAACGCACTGCTCTTCTTCATACGGTCCTTGACCTGTAGCAAGTGCCTCAGGTCCTGCTCTGTTTCAGCAAGCAAGGTTGTGCATTTGTCTGCCTATCGCACATTGTTGATGAGTCTTCCTCCAATCCAGACGCCACGTTCCTCCTTTCTGTACATTCCCTTATAGTAAATACTTGCTTTGTCTTCTTGAACTTCCCTTTTGAAATCTTTTGTTTATATCTTTTAGTTTGGCACCTCTTCCATTTATTTTGGCTTTTTAGCACTCTACTGCGATTTTCAGACTCTATTCTGACATCCATTGTGGTCTTTTCTTTCTCCTCTTTGTGATGACCTTTTGCTCTCTTCATGGATAATAATATCCTTGATGTAATCCCACAACTCATCTTGTCATCAATCATTGATGTTCAGTGCCTCAAACCTTTCCTTAGATGATATTTAAATTCATGTAGGATAGACTCAAAGTCATATTTTGGTTCTTGTGCACTTGTTTTCATTTTCTTCAGGGTGAATTTTAACTTGCCTATGAGTAATTGATGGTCTGCTTCTCAGTCAGCACTTGGCCATGTTTTAGCCGCTGATATTGAACTTCTCTAATGATTCCTTCTGCAGATGTAGCCAGTCTGATTCCTATGCACTTCATCAGGTGAGATTCATGTGTAAAGTCACTATTTGTGGTTTGTTTGGTTTTTTTTTAAAAAGGGTATTTATGATGAATAAATCATTGAGCATACAAAATTCAATCATTCCATTTCTGACCCCATTCTGTCACCAAGTCCATACTTTCCGACTACCATTCCTCGTTCATTGTTTCCAGCTTTTGCATTCCAGTCTCTAGTTATCAGGAACACATCTTGATTGTGTGTTTGGTCAATTTTGGACTGCAAAATTTGGTTAAAATCTTACTTTTCCTCCTCTTTGGCTTTAGCTATTGGTGCATATATTTAAATAATAGTCACATTAACAGATCTTCCTTATAAGCATATCCATGGTATCCTATTACTCACAACATTGTACTTCAAGAAGTTGTTGTTGTTGTTGTTAAGTGTCGTCGAGTCACAGGCAACTCATAGCGACCCTATGAAGGAGAGTCCTAACACTTCAAGATAGAACTTGAAAGTCTCTTTTTAACTATAAACTCAATACCATTCTTCCTCTGTTATTCATTCCCAGTATGGTATACCTTGTGACTATCTGATTCAAAATGGCCAATGACAGTCTATGTCATCTCACCTCACTAATGCCTAGGATGTCAGTGTTCACATATTCCATTTAATTTTTGACAGCTCATACATGCATACTATGTATATTTCACATTTGCAGCTGTTTTTAATTTTGATTGGCCTCTAATACTATCACTACCCATGTTCTTCTGTTGTTTATAGGGTTTGTAGAGGCCTGCTATTTCAGAAGTGGATGGCCTGTCTTTCTTCCTAGTCCATCTTAGTTTGGGAGCTCTGATGAAATCTGTCTACCATGTCTGACCCCTCTGGCATTTGACACACTGGCGGGATAGCTTCTAACATCAGAGCAACCAACAAGTTATTGCAGTACAGCAAACTGACAGTCAAGTGCTGTACTAATAAGAAGTATTTGCCCTAGTATCATTTGCTCTCTGCCTTCATAACCACTAAAAGTCTATACATTTGTCTATTTCAGCTATTTCATGGGGAGTTTGAGTGGGGGCCTAGTGGATAGCAAATTTTACTGCCAATCTAAAGTTGGATGCTTCAAGCCCATCAGCTGCTTCCATGTGATTTACTGCCTCTGAAAACCCACTGGAGGGTCTGCTATGAGTCAGTTCTAACTCAATATTAATGAGTTGAGTTGTTGAGTTTGGGATATCTCATGTAAATGAAATAATACAATTTTTTTCTTTTATGACTTATTTCACTTAGCATGATGTTTTCAAGGTTCATCCATGTTGTGGCACGTGTTGTAATTTTATTGCTCCTTTGAGCTGCATAATATGCCATTAGGGAACCTGAAAACTTGCTGGAGGGTCAGCTATGAGTTGGTTCTGACTTGACAGTGCATAAAAACAACAACAAAAAATAATATTCCATTTCATATTTATGTCATATTTTGTTTACCCGTTCATCCACTCATAATAAGGTGTTTTCCCTTTTGCACTATTGTGAATAATGCTTCTTTAAACATGGGTGTATCTGTTTATGTTCCTGCTTTTAATTTTTCAGGGGTATACACGTAGGAGTGGAATTGCTGAATCATATGATAATTCCATGTTTTCCTTTCTGATGGCTTGCCAGACTGTTAGGTTCTGATTAGTATTTCAATTGCATTTTCTTCTCTCCTGTTTCCAATGAGAGGGCAAGCTGGATAAAGTTAGAGGTCGTATCTCTTGAGTTCATCACTTTATCTCCAGTGCCTAGGGCATAGTGAGAGCTTTGGATGAGTGAGTAAATGAGAGAGTTCCTTTGTACAGTCCTTAAGACATCAGGTATTAGGAAAGGGGCGTAGGCGTGGAATGGGGCACAAGGAAGCACCCACAACCCAGGGCAGGAGGAGACATTAGGCTTTTCCCCTCTCCCCTTCATCTCCCTCTCTCTCTCCACCCTGATGGTTACATGCTTGACAACTGACTAAAAGTTGGCAGTTCCAGCCCCCGCCACCACCAGCTTCTCTGTAGGAGAAAGCTCTGACAGCCTGTTCTTATAAAGACTACAGCCTAGAAAACCTTTGAGGAGTTTGACTTAGTCATACAAGGTCTCTTGGAGCTGAAATCGATTACATACCGTACGTAGCCTGCCAAGAGAACAAACAGGTACAGACCTGTCCTGGAGAGGGTGAAACCAGGTTGTTCCTTGGAGGCAAAGACTGAGAAGCTCCGTCTGACATACTTTGATCTTGCAAGAAGGAGGGACCAGTCCTTGGAGAAGGGCATCATTCTAGCAAGGGTGGAGGGTCAGCACAGTAGAGGAAGACCCTGAACTAGGTGAATTGACGCAGTGACAGTGGCAGTGGGGGTAGGTGTGTCAGAGATGGTGAGATTGACTAACGATAGGGGAGAGTTCAGAGCTCTTCATAGTGTTGTTACAAGCTGTGGTTGACTCAAGGACACAGGACAACAACAACAAATATATATGGAGCACAGAACTGGCCGGGTCAACATTTTTCACATGACAAATTCCACATTTTGGACTACATTTGCTCCACTGTGGGATTATCACGACTGTCCATTTCCAGATTTTTTCCATCACTGTGATGGAGCTCGAGGTCACTCTGGTCTGTTGAGCTGTGTCCTAAGAACTGATGGAGGAATTTTAGGAGGGATGTTGAGGTGAGCTCTGCAGGGAAGGGAATGGTATGGCCTGGCAGTGAAGGACAGCGAAGCAGCGAGCTGGAGAAGCCGGTGTTAAGAGCCTTTGAAAGGAAACAGAAGTGAGACCAAAGCACCTGGATTGAGAGGGCCCTCAAGTGCTGCACTGGGGAGTTAGGGGTGCCCGTAATATAGGCTGCCAGGCACTCCAGAAGGTTTCTAAGTAGGGAGCTCCCAGTGAGATCTGGAAGCCAGTCTGTAAGCCAACCCCAAAGGGTTCCTGAGGGCCATTGAGGTTCATTCCAGAGAGCTCCATTGTCTCTTCACCCTAAGGGGCCACCAGTGGAGAGTGAGAAGGCAGGGACCTGGGAGGGCCAGGTGGGCGGGTGGCCTGCTTCTGCCTGTAGCCGTGGCTGGCGGCAGCCTGTGCAGACCGGGGACCCTTTGTGAGGAGTGAGTGTCCTTGAGGTTTCATCATAGACCAGCTGGCTGATTTTTCTCCGGACTTGGCTGCCTGATGTCAGCATCTTCAAAGCATCTCCGTGTGCTGTCTGTCCTCTCTCTCCTGGAACCTTCCCTGTAGCCTCATCTTTGTTTTGTTCTATCCTTACTGCTTCACTTGTGCACTGAAAACAGCACGTGTTCCTGTTGGAAATCTGAAACTAGAGATGAGCAAATGGGGAGGAAAAACAACAGCCTTCAATCCGCCACCCCAGAGACTCCTCTCTAGCCGGTCTGAGGGTCCTGGCCTTATTCTGTGCAGATGTAGAAACCTTTGTAAAACAAAAATGGAATGACCTGGTTTTCTCATGAAAGTGCTCTAGTAGTGCTTTGGCAGCTAACTGAAAGGTTGGCAGTTCAAAACTACCAGCTGCCCTGTAGAGGAAAGATATAAGACATGCTAAGCCTGCTTCTAGAAGGGTCTGATGACTTGGAAACTCTGCGAACTGTTCTGCCTTGTCCTGTAGGGTTTCTATAAGTTGGGGTTAAATTGAGTCTAGGGGTTTAGGTTAGAGGTCTTGAAATCTGCTTTTTCTATTTTTGCAATTCACTGCCCCCTCCCCCTATTTTCTGTTGTGCATGGGGACAAAATGAAGGAATGGCCGGGAGGATAAGCAGCCCCTGGGTGGTCACTGGGGCCGCTGCCGCCATCTTTGTGAAATGTATCTCTGTAAAGGAGCCCTGGTGGCACAGTGTGTTATGTGCTGCACTGCTCACCGGAGGTCAGCAGTTCACCCTCACCAGCTCCTCTGCAGGAGAAAGATGGGAAGTCTTCTCCTGTTTTCATTGACTGGCTCAAAATCCCAATGGAGGGACTTTGTTCCCCCCCTTTTCATTAGTTTATTTACAAAATTGGAATACAAATTTGAATAAATGCTTTCCATTTCCCTCACCCGCCTATCCATCAAATGATACAACCCTATGATTAATCCCCCCGCCCCCTGCACATCCACATCCCTCTGCTTCCAGCCTCTCCCACCCCTCCAGGATCCTTCTACTCATTCTACAATAACGGTCTTATACAGTATTTATCCATGTGGGACTGAGTTAGTTCACTCAGCATAATGCCCTCCAGTCCCCAGTGGAGGGACTTTGCGAGTTGGAACTGGCTCAGCAAGATTGAGGGAACAAGTGAATGTATGTGGTGTAAAAGTTCTCACGACGACCCCAATTTCAGCCTACTGACATCGGTGGTTCAATCTCACCCAGCGGGCTGAGATTCCAGCCTGGAGACACTGTGACGCGTAACTGTGCTCTGTAGTGCAGGGCTCCGCCCAAGTCAGAGCCCACGCTTAACAACTAACAACCGCACTGTGATGCTCTGAGTGCCAGGCTGGGAGCGATGACGATTAAGCGGTGTTTCCACTACTCAGATACAGCGACCTAAAGCTCAGAAACCCTGCCCATCCCCTGTGCCCAGGCGACCCCAGCTCAGGGTCATCGTGCGTGGAGTTGCTGGTTAACTCGGAGGGAAGTTTTCTACTTTATTGTATCAGAATGAGCAGCCGTGCCCACCTCGTTGCCTTTCCCCCACCCTTCCCAGGAAGCTGGAAATGTCCCTCTAAGTAGGCACGCACCTGTCTCAGGCGCAGGGGGCAGTTTAACCAGTTTTCCGTGCGCCGGGATGAAGTTCCTATTCACTCTCGGGTGCAGGACACAACCCGCACCACTGTCCATGACCAGCCTGGGGAGGCAGCAGACTTGCCATCCAGAACCTTCTTCAGAGGTGAGCCTGCTTCACGTCTGTGGTCTCCAGCGTGGTGGCTACAAGCTGCGTGTCCCTAACAATCAAACGTGACACTGAGATGCTGGATGTTTCATTTCATCTACATTTAAATAGTTACATGTGACTGGTGCTGCTGCTCTAGATAGCACAACCCTGCAGGATTTGCTGGTTATAATGGGAAGCGGAGAGGCCCCTGTCTGGGGGCGTGTGGGCTGGGTTTCCTGGGAGCCGGAGAGCTGAGAGCAGCCCTGCCCCAGTCAGGGACCCCTGGGAGTTGGAAGCTGGGGACTCTGAGGGCCATGCTTTCAGTGCAGAGTGGAGCCTAGAAATCTTGGCTGGGATGGTGTTTTAAGTACAGAATGACACTTGGGCCAATTTGAAAGCCAGTCTCTGGGTTAGCCAAACAAAAGCAAAATTTTTCGAAAAACTCAAGCAGCAAGAAAACATTGCACTCATGCTGACCCATTTGTGTCAAAACAGGATTGTGCTCTGTCGCTTTTTCAATGCCAGAACTGGACTACCAGGCCTTTCTCCCTTGGCTCCTGGGGAGGGGGGCATGCAAACCGTGAGCTTTCTTTCTTTTTAGTCCCAAGTGTGTTAACACACCCTTCCCCAGGCACTCCATCAGAGGGCCTCAAGGTGTAAAAGAATGACTGGCCTCTCCCAGGTCCCTTACTCTGGTCCCCTGTGACTCGGGCTATGGCCCGAGGTCACGTAGGCTCCGTGGTGTCCTCGACATTGTGGAAGGAGAAAGGTAACGTGGTTCTGCAGTTGCTCTTGCTCCCCAACCCCTCTCCCACCCCTGGCTGCCTTGGAGTTGAGCACAGACAGGCGACTGAGAGTCTTCAGCTGTGGTGGCTGCTGGTCCAGCCCCCTCCCCCCTCATTCCAGGTCTTGGCTGCATTGTTACGATTAGGAAGAGGCAGCCGGTGCCTGGTCCTCCTATGAAGCCCGTGCTCTGCACATCTCATTCCTCCTTGGAGTTCCCACAGCTCGGCAGGCATCCTCCTTCCTTCTCTTGCGAAGGGATGGGGCTGCGGATGGGTGTGCTGGACTGCACGCTAAATATAAACATATATTTGCATTAAATTGCAGAGCGAAGTAGTCAAGGCTGGGGCTCTGCTCTCCACCAGACCCACGTTTGAGCCCAGCCTTTGCTAGTTCCTGATTGTGTAAACTTGGCAAATCCTTTAATCCCTCTAAACCTGGGGTCCCTGCTGGTGCAGTGGTTAGGTGTAGCTTCAAGGTCAGTGGATGAGCACCCCCGACACCCCAGCTGATCCTTAGAAGAAAGAGAAAGCTTGCTGCTTCCCTTGGGAAGCTTCTGGCATCTCTTCTCTGTCCTGCAGGGTCTCTGGAGTGGACATGACTCGTGGGCAGTGCCCGTGGGTTTAGGTCTCTGTTTCCTCCTTGGGGTAAGGAGGTTGTTAAAAGGATGGACCTCCTCAGTGGGAACCCATTTAATGAACTCTAAGAAATGTGTGACATGAAGTTGAGGCAACGCTTAGCTACTCTAGAGAACGTCACCATAGGTTCTCCCAGGCCTCATTTTTAAAGGAGCCAATCACCAAGTCTTTCCTCTTGTGACGCAGCTTGGAGGGTCCTCACCCTCGGCCTTTTATTATTATTATTATTATTATTATTATTATTATTATTTTGTGTGAGTGTACCATCAAATCAGATCTGACTGGTACAGGAGGAGATTGTCCCTCCTTCTCCACAGAGCATCTGGTGGATTCGAACCATGCACCTCTGGGATTGTAGTTGCAGCTCCTTGCCACTAGGCCACCAGAGCTCCCCACCCTTGGCCTTTTTAAACCGTTGTTAAGCACCTCGTTGGTAAATGTTAAGGAGCAATACTTACCATTGCAATTATTACTCTTTTAATTGGGTTACCAGATTGCGTCCTCATTTTAGAGGGATATTTTAGATAAAAGTGAGCTTTCTGATCATGAGAGGCGACTATAGATGGGGAAGGTTTTGGGGGTCCCCCAGAGGTGCTGGAAAAGCCTGTGTTGAGTCACCACTTGGCCTCCTGTTTCAGCACCAGCGGGAGGCCCTTCCTGCTGTACGTGGCCCTGGCCCACATGCACGTGCCCTTGCCCCGGACTCAGCCAGCAGCTGACCCGCCAGGCTGGAGGCCGTACTCCGCTGCCCTTCGGGAGATGGACTGGCTGGTGGGCCAGATCAAGGACAAAGTTGACCACACAGCAAAGGAAAACACGTTCATCTGGTTCACAGGTAAAACATAGCCAGCAGCCTTCCCACTGTCTACGGATAACCCTGTACATGCCCCTACCCGGAAGAGCTTGTCCTCTGAGCCTCTTCACTGGCCTGGGGGCTTGCTTTGAACTTGGTGCCCACTGGTATTGAAGCTCTGGTGGCTTAGTGGTAAGGAATTGTTCTAGCAACGCAAAGGTAAATGGTTCAAAATCGCTGCTCTGTGGGAGAAGGATGGGCAGTCTCCTCCTGTGAGATTAACTGTCTGAAAACCTGCTGGAGGGTCAGCTGTGGGTTGACCCTGACTTGATGGTACACAACAACACGTATTGGTGCCTGGGAGCTCTGATGGCTTAGTGGTAAGGAGTTGCGCTACCAAGCAAAAGGCATCTGGTTCAAATCCACCAGCTGCTCCATGGGAAAAAGATGAACAGCCTCTTCCTGCACATTTTACATCCTCTGGAAATGCCTTAGAAGGTCAGCTGTGTGTGGATTCTGACTCAACAGCACAAAACAACAAGAAGAATTGCTTTTTATGCTATTTTTAAAAATTTGGTTGTGTTTTTCTTTTGTGTGTGTGTGTATCATCGAATCGGATCTGACTGGTACAGGAGGAGATTGCCCTCCTGTACAACGGAGCATCTGGTGGATTTGAACCGTGCACCTTCGGGATTGCAATGCAGCTTCTTGCCACTAGGTCACCAGAGCTCCTTATTGCTGATGGGTGACACTGGCGTTGAGAGGCTGCATTGTCCTCTGTCAGCTCTCAGGTGCCCTCTTATTGTCCTTTCCAGGACACATCTGGCTGAATGGCCTAGGCTGGACTGAACAAATGACCCCCTTCAGAGGGCTCAGTGGCTTCCGTGTTTGGCTGCTAACCGAAAGGTTGGCTTGAGTTCACCCGGAGAGGTGTATCCAAAGAAAATCCTGGGGAACTGCTTCAGCAGAGTCAGCCCCGGAACCATAGTGAGCCCAGCTCAGCTCTGACAGCTGAGTGGCAGGTACCTGGGCCACAGCTGGTTTTCAGAGGGCTCCCCACACACATGCAGGGGTCAGGATCGAGTTTCTGTTATGTGCTGTTGAGTCGATGCAGTTCACAGGGAGTTTATGAACAGTGGATCTGAAGGATCCGTGCCATCCTCACCGTCTCAGACACACTTGAGTCCATTGTTACAGTCACTGTCGGTCTATCTTGTTGAGGGTCTTTCTCTCTTACGCTGACCCTCCACCTTTCCAAGCATGTTGTCCTTCCCCAAGGACTGGCCCCTCTTAACAACCTGCCCAAAGTATGTGAAATATTTCACCTTCCTTACCACCAAAAAGCACCCTGGTGTCGCTTTCTTCAGGACAAGCCTGTTTATTCTTTTGACAGCCCAGAAGATATTCAGTGTTCTTTTCCAACACCACAACTCAAAGGAATTGATTCTTCTGTCATCCTTAGTCATCGTCCTCCTTTCAGATGCATGGCAGTCACTAAAAACACTATTTCAGAGTCAGGCCCAAACCTGGGTTTGCGTCTTTCTTCCCCCTACGCCCAGGAAAGTTACTTAATGGATTTTCACGTAGAGTGTGGTCACTTAAATAATGCATATGTTTGTCAAGTGTACATAACGTTCTTAGGAGATAAGTGCTGGGGGAAGAGTTCACACAGTTTGCAAAAAAACTGTATCTGGTGTGAGTTATTTACATCTTCCCTAAGGTAGAAAGCCTGGGTCGAAGGTACAACCTGGGTGTCCTCACTGGCGAAAGAGAGCTAGTAATGGTCCACCTCACCGCATAATGGAGAGATTATGGGATGATGTGAGGTTCTGGGTGAGTGAGGGGAGCTCGGTAGACAGACATGTTGAAGATGACAATGGTGGTCGGATGATGATGATGATGATGATATAGCTAAAAAGGAAGAGGCACAGGTACAAAACACTGCTCACTGGGGCGAGGACAGGCAAGCAGAGCCTGACTTCAGGACTGTTGTTGTTGTTGTGTACCATGGAGTTGGAACCTACTCGTTGGGGACCCTCCAGCGGGTTTTCAGAGGCTCATAACCACACAGAAGATTTCTCACCTTTCTCCCTTAGAGCAGCGGGGGATTTTGTTGTTGTTGTTAGGTGTTGTGAAGTCAAATGTGACTCATAGCAACCCTGTGAACAATAGTTCTGAGCCCTGTTCTAGGCTGCGCCATCCTCTTCATCTCTGATACAGTTGAGCCCATTTTTGCAGTCACTGTGTCAACAGAGGTCTGTATATTGTGTTCCAGGTCCTTCTAGCCAGCCCCCCCCCCGCCGATGTGGCCGAATATGGGACCCCAGATGGAGGGTCTTTGAACCACCAGCCTGTTAATAATCATGTGCTTGTTTCCAGGTGACAATGGCCCGTGGGCTCAGAAGTGTGAACTGGCAGGAAGCATGGGTCCCTTCACAGGACTGTGGCAAACCCGTCAAGGTAGGGGCTCAGCAGGGACTCGGCGGTCCCATTGTGGGTACCAAGTCCAGGCTGGGACCTGGGATTCTGCCTCTGGGAGGGCTGAGTGGCATCACCGTGACACAGGACCGAGCTGTTCATGTTCCATCTGCTCCCAGAGAAGGGGCCAGGTGGGGCAAAGATCAGCCTGGACATTCATCCCTTTCTGCCCTTTCTCCCAGAAGGGCCCAGGTGGGACGTAGAGAGCGTCTCTGCTCAGCGAGCATCCCTCTCTGTCCCCAGGACTCCAGAGAGCACTAATCCTTTCCACAAGCCAGTCCACCGACTTCCCAGCAAAGAATCTTTGCCTTTTCTTTCCTCATGCTGTGCTCACTTCACCTCCTTTCAGCCCTCCGTTTTAAGCACACATTCCATTTACTCAGGAGATCCTTAGTGCTGGTCTGTGCACAATGTTTGTGTAGGCTTCGCTGCTTCTTGAAATTGTGTAAGGGAGGTAGCGACAGCTCCATTTAACTGGTGGAGAAAGAGAGGCGGAGAGGGGCTTGTCTGAGGTCACGTGGTCCTTGAGGATGGAGCTGGACTTCCTGTCACAGTCGTAGCAGTGCTCTTGCAGCTGACCTTTCTCTCACTGTCCCTTGGCCTCTCACATTCTCTGGGGTCCAGGCGACCCCACAAGGACCTCAGTTGCGAGAGGGCAGCCACCTTGTTGGGTCACACCCTTCTGACTCAGCAGCATTCCTCCACACGTGATCTAGACAGGCTGCTCGAGTTCTCCAGGCTGCAGTCTTCACACAGATTGCCAGGCCATTCTTCCGCAGAGCTACTGGGTGGGCTCCAACTGGCTGCTTTGACGCGCAGCTAAGCACTTGACCATTGCACCCCTGAGGGTCCTTGGGAGCAGTTGCGGTATTGGGGGTGTGGGAGGGAGAGCACACACTTGCAACATGCACCGAAGGGTCATCAGTTCCTCTCCCAGGCATTTGTCTTAGAAGATAATGAACCAAGGACGCGAGGCTGGCTATAGAAAGACATTCATGCTGGAGGTTTTACGTTTTTAAAATGTTGGCCATGACTCCAGCGTCCAGTGCGAGGCCTGCTTGCAGAAATGGTGATGCGTCCATCTGAACCGATGAGGAGGAAACGGTCAGATGAGGTCTGGTCTATTTCTTTCCTTTTTTTTGGGGTACGGGGCTGCAGAAAGGCTTCTTTTCTTTGCCTCCTGCATGTAACAGAGGCCAGGAGGAGAGACGCTCTCTCTTCTTTCGGTCTTAAAGTGGCAAAGAGAGAAAGATACCCTTGGTCCACGTCAGCCCTTCTGGGGGACACTCCCCACCCCCAGACCAGGCTTTGAGAGGACGTTGGGGCTTGGCAGTCCCGGAGACGTTTCTGCTGCCGGCAGGGTCTGAGCTGAGCCCCCACCTCTGAGTGCTGAGGGGGGTCTGTGAGAGGCTGCAGCAATGGCATCCCTGAGCCCAGATCATTTTTTGAGGGGCCATCTCCGCCCTGGACACTGCTGCTCTGTGCACCTTCTGCTGGCTGACCTGCTTGCTCTGATGCTCACAGATGAGTGCGGAGCAGGGGGTGCACCAGCTTGTGAGGTTCCAGATCAGTCATGTCTTCAGTGTTGGGCGCCTGGGCTCCGGACTGTTATGTGTCAAACTGGGCCAAGGGCTACCTGAGCTCTGGAGCCGCGCGGCTGGCGGCACTGGCGGAAGTCTGTTTCTTGATGTCAAAAGCTTGCTCATTGTCAAGTTCGCCTTCAACCCCTTCGGTCACCAATGCAACACTCTACAGACAGTACCGTCAGAGTTCCTTATGTTTCCTGGACTCATTCACGCACTCCTTGCTGTCAAGACCAAACCGACTCATGGCAGACCCTCCACTGAGGGCCAAGGCTGTGAGTCACAGGGAAGGAGATGGCGCGTCCTTCTCCCAGGGAGACTCGAACCACGAGAGGTGTGCCCTTTGTGTTAGCAGCACAACTCCCTACAGACTAGGCTTCCCTACAGATGCTCCTTCTCCTCAGTCTAAGAAGATTTATATCAGTGAATAAAGCAGGGCACAGAGTAATGAGGAAGGTTGGATTTATTAAAAAGGTTGTCGTTGAGAACCATCGAGTCAGAACCGACCCATAGCTGAGCCTCCAGCGGGATTTCAGGGGCTTTTAATCACATGGGAGGAGATTGCCCGTAAGCCTGCATGTTCCCAGAAAAGCTAGTCTCTACTTGAAGAAAGGGAGGATGGGAAGCGGGGAGGGGGATGTGTGTTGTAATGTGTTTGAGACAATTCTTCCAAAAGGCAACAAAGGTCATAAGAGACTTGTCATAATTGTCTCGGGGTTGGAGGAGGAGGGGTTTGGGTGATTCTCCCACTTTTTTCTCATGTCAACCAAGTCAGTATTTTATTGTTTGTTGTTGCATAAGAAAAATGAAAACAAAGTTCTCAGAAGGGGCTTGTAAAGGGAGCCTGAGGTGAGTTTGGCTAGTCATTACCCCTGTTGGTGAACGCTGATGGCAGATTTTGAAACCTGGGACTGGGCTTCCCCACTGTTTAGTTCTCTGAGCTACAAACCCCAGCTTTGTGCAGGTCCGAGACACAGCTGCTTGGAGGGAGAAGTCGATGCCCTGGAATTGCGATGTTGGAGAAGAAGATGAGCATCTCATGGACTGTCAAAAGAATAAAGTCGTCTATCTTTGAGGAAGTGCAACGAGGGTGTTCCTTAAAAGGAAGGAGAGTGAGACTTAGCTCACATTTAACTGGGATCCATAGTCAACACCCATGCTTGCAGAAGTCAAGAAATCAAAAAGATGTATTGCTTTGGGCAAATTTGCTGTCGAGAAATTCCCCCAAGTGTTAAAAAGCAAGGATGTCAATATAAAAAGACTGATTCAAGCCATGGTGTTCTCAGCTGCTTCCCATGCGTCTAAAAGTTGGGCAAGGAATGAGGAAGATGGAAGAAGCAGCGATGCCTTTGAATTGTGGTGTTGGTCGAGAGTATTGAATATCACATGGGCGGCCAAAGAAGAAGCAGACGTGCCTTGAAGGAGCTGTAGCCGGCGTGCTCCTGAAAGGGGAAGAGAGGGAGACGCGCCCACACTTACTCTGTGCTTGTGACAAGGGGCCAGTTCTGGGGGGGGAGACAGCACGCTGGAAAAGGGAGAGAGTCCGAGAAAGAAAGGAAGACCCTCAATGGGACAGTTGACTCAGTGACTGTAACAATGACTGTGGCGTATCCAAGATGCTGAGAATGGCTCAGGACAGGGCAGAGTGCAGATTCGTAAGGTTGTTATGAGTCACAATCGGCTCCAGGGCACCTCACGACCACAAGGACAGTGTGGGGGAGGGAAGGGAAGAGCAGAGTCCCGAATTAGAAGCTCATTTGGGTAATGAAAGGAAACAAAACGTCTGGAAAAGTCCAGGATTTTAGGAATGCCAGAGTTGCCCAACACTGTGGCACTCTTTGTGTGTGTGTGTGTGTGTGTGTGTGTGTGTGTGTGTTACTTTTTAAAAATCATTATTAGTAATTTTAATGAAAATTTACAGAGATTTTGGATTTCCATTCATTCCTTGTTGCACTTTTCTCCCTGCCCACCCCTCCCCTCCAGTTCGCTCTTCTCCTTGAAAAGTAAAAGAAAAATTCTTTCATTGTTATACAATCCCTCCTCCGAAGTCCACTCCGCTACACAGCCTTCGTTCTGGACTCCCATCATGACAATAACACCCAGTCATATGTCCCTGTTAAACAGTTCTCTCCCTCATCTGTTTCAATGCAGTATATATAATCTATCCCATCTTTCTCAGTCTCTCCCCCTCCCAATGGCAATCTTGGTTTTTTTTATTTTAAATTTATTTTAATGAAAGTTTACAGAGACTTTGGATTTCCATTCATTCATTGTTGCACTTTTCTCCCTGCCCACCCCTCCCCCAATTTGCTTTTCTTTTTGAAAGGTAAAAGAAAAAAAATTCTTTCATTGTTATTCAAATCCCTCCCCCCAAGTCCAATCCACTATGCTACCTTCATTCTGGACTTTTGTCATAACCAATGGCAATCTTTTAGATCAAGCACATGACAGGTTCCATGAGGAAACTGAGGCCGAGGAGGGAGCCACCCCCTTTGACCACCTCTGCCTTCCTTCCTCGCCCGTTTTGACCACTGTTACTCATGCTTTTGTTACACTGACTAACCAGTCAGCTGGAAAATCCTGTCTTGCCTCTTACGTCCTCAGAATTGTCTAGAACAATGTCTCCAGCCCCTGTGAATGTCTGGATCTTTCTCAATCTGTGGGAGACTGGGTGGTTGTTGTTGTTAAATGCTGCTGAGTTGGTTATGACTCATATTGACCCTGTGCACAGCACAGCAAAACCCAGCTCAGTCCTGAGGTGTCCTTATACTTGTAACAACCACTCTAACAATCTCATTGGGGAATTTTACCTCTTTTCCTCTGACCCTGCACTTGACCAAGCATGAGGCCCTTCTCCCAGGACTGGCCGCTCCAGATAACATGTCTGGAGGACCTGAGGTGAAAGCTCACCTTCCTTGTTTCTAAGAAACATTCTGACTGTATGTCTTCCAAGAAAGATTTATTTGTTCTCTTGGCAGCCCGTATAGACAACAGCCTTTGCCAACACGGCATTTCAGGGGCATCTGTTCTTCCTCAGTCTTCCTGGTTCAGTGTCCACCTTTCACATGTATATGAGGTGATTGACAAGGCCATGGGCTGGGTCAGGCTCACCTCAGTTCTCACAGTGGTATCTTTGCTCTTCTCTACTATAAAGAGGGAGGCATGGTGCCAAGGTGGAAAGGGTGAGTGGCATGAAGGTGCAGCGCTGACTTGAACTTGGACTCAGTTACTTCTTCCCCTTCAGAGCTGGTTTTGCGCTCTCTCGCTGCTCTGCTTCTCCCCTTGTAAGGTGGGGTGGTGGGTCCTTCACACAGGACAGTGTGAGAGCTAGGGTGGGAAGTCCCGTGGAGCCATGCTCCACTCCACGCACAGGAGAAGTGGAAAGGGGATCAGAAAAGG